GCTCGCCCTGCAGCTCCAGCCTGGAGCAGCGGCGCCTCCTGCAAGCCGGAGCCCAGGCGGGGGCTGAAGCAACTCTGCCCTGCCCCGAGCGGGCAGCCTCCGTCGCCTCGATCTTCTTCTTCCTCCTCACCTCCGGCACCTTCTCCTCCTCCTCCTCCTCCTCCTCCTCCGCTTCTTCGCCCAGCCTGCCTCCCGGCGCTGCCCGCGGACGCGGCCAGCCAACATGCCCAGGAGGAAGCAGCAGGCGCCCCGGCGCGCAGCAGGTACGAGGGAAGCTGCTGCCCTGGCCGAGAAGCGCGCGGGGACCGGGGGAGGCGAGGGAGGGAGGGACGGCTACCTGGGGAGGGGGCGCTTGTCTCCTTTCCACCCCACTTCTTTCTTCCCCATAAACTACCAGGTCCTGCTTGGATAGACAGCTCTATCTGTATCGCTCTCCTTTTGGCAGATCTCTTTCCCTCTCTCTCTCCCTCTCACTCCCAGTTCCTTTTTCCTGATCCAGCAGCTCCTCTCTTTACTCCTGCCAAAGAATTAGGAAGTCGGGTGGGGTTTGGAGGGAGTGGCGGGGAAGGTTGGTGGTCCTGGTTGGGCTCCAATCCTTCGCCTGACTTCTTCTTTGATCTGAGTTGGGGGTCACCCTTGGGCTCCTTTCCTCCTGTCGCTTTGGGTCACTTGGAGAACTGGACGGGAACTGAGCAACTTCTGACAAAGAGACCACCGTTGGTTGGTGGGTGGATTTGTTCCCCACTAATTTTTCTGGGGGACCCATTCCCTCCTGTCGGCCACAATTATGCTTGTGATAATTGTAGTCCTCGTGCTAGCCCAGGTGTGTGTCTACCTGTGTGCCTGGGCAATGAATCACTAAGTGCACGGTATAGATAAAAACTCCTTCACCCAACTTTCTTTCCACCTCCTCTTCCTTTGGGGTGATGCTGCTGAGCGAGGCTTAGAAACACTACCTTCAGTCTGAATGGTTACTTCCCTTGAAAAGTGATTTTTTAAATATATATATATACAGTATATCAGATGAAAGCTGCACAGGAAACCTGGGAAAAACTAGACTCTGGATATTGTCAGATGACAGTCACAAATATTTCTTTACATTTCATTTTCACGCTTCACAGATTTTGTTTCTAATTTCCTTTTCTGCTTTTAAAATTAATGTTAGGATCATTGTTATTTTAAAGATCTGGGTCGTTTTATCTCTTGTCATAAAGGTTAGCTTTTGGGAGGGCACATGTGAACAGTTTTGTGGAATGACCAGCTTTGGGAAGCAAATACTTTCTGCTCCTAACCTTATGTTCCTGCTTTAAAAGAAAGCAGCAGCAGCAGCAACAACAACAACAACAACTTGGACATTTTATTTTGCCGTCCTCTTTTAGCTGGGCTGGGTGAGGGTATGGCCTGGAATGGGATTTGGAGTTTCATTGGCCTCTTGCCATCCTTGGTTTGATGGCTGATTGATGGCCTGCCATTCGGTTGCCTTTGATCTATTCATCCCCCAATAAACCTCAATGAATCATTTGCCAGGGTGACGTCACCCACGTGGCATGTCAGCTTTGTCCCTGTCATTGAGGGGTTCAGGTGTCTGCTTTTGGAAAGGGAAGCTGGCACAGACAGAAAAAATTCAACCGGGGCACTCCTTTCCCAAGACAGAGCGATGGCTTTCTTCTGCTCTGCTGGGGCCAGAGGAAGAATATTCTGTGTGGATCACTAAGTGCAGAACGACGTCCCCTTTCTGTAATCTTCAGGAGGAAGCCATAGGTAGCACATACTGGAGTGCCTTTTGATTTCCATGTGACTGTCAGGCTATATTTCACCAATGAATATATCAGTTCCTGCTCCGTGTCCTGTGAAGGAAGGAGTAGCTCACCCACAATCTCTCTTAGCAAATGGCTTGGTTTGCAGGCATGCTCTTCCAAGCAGCATGCTTGCCTCTTTCTAGAAATTAATCACCCATGTGCTACACACGTGTCTTAACTCTCTTCCCATGATTTCTTTCCCGCCATGCGTGCTTGGGCTTATTGTCTTCCTTTTTAAAACTTTGAGAGGGGAAACTCCTTGTTTTCCCCCAATGACTGCAAATAGAAAGTTTAGGAAAAGTTTCTCCGTGTAATGTCCTCATGTCCATACATGCTTTGCCATCAACATATTTTTGCATGCACGAGTGGGAATGACTATTTGTGATGTGTTTTCACAAGTTGTGTGGATCAAAATGGGACATGTTACATATCAAACACTATTTAATTTCTGTGAATAGCAGCACCCTTCCTGAGCTTATTCTTTGGACCCAAACTCTGTTTTGAACTTCTAGCATGCAGGAAAAGAAAAGTTTCTAGACCATATGAGCTGGAGTGGAAAGTTTATAGCGGTGTCTTCTGCTTAACACCTTTTGGCTGTTTATTTTAGATAGATGTTTTCTTCTTTATGGGCAGCTTGTATCAATTGCTTTCAACATTGCCTGCTCTGAGTGAAATGGACATTTCTGCTGGCTTCTGAGATGGCTTCGGTGTGAGCTTAACATGACTCTGAGCATGTTTTGCAAATGCTTAGAAACTGCTTTAAAGTAATAGGAAACCCACAGACCAGGATGATTATGGGTGCTGGAAAAAAAGGAAGGGAAAAGAGCTAAGAAGTATAACGTAGTAGGTTTGTTAAGAAATATTCATTAACATGCCTCCCCCCCCCCAACTGCAGGACTAATAGGAGATGGAAGAATGGGTTTACGCTATCAAAATGACCCGTCAAAACGACTTTGTTTCATATTTGATTTAATTGTCTCTCTCTTGACAGGCACATTTATCAATAGCTTAATGGTCAATCAGAAGTTGGCAGAGTGAGTGCTTTCATCCTTTCTCATATACTCGCTTTGCCTTTACTTTATCAAAATGCCTTTGGTAAATGGATATGAGGGGGTGGGGGCATCGAATGAAGGAGATTTGCTTATTTGAGTTGAACGAGGCAAACCCTGCCATTAATAGGGAGAAATGTCTGATGAGTTTATTTTTGATTTTTAAAAATGTTGATATTCCAGACATGTTAAAATGTTTTTTATTTTATTTTCCAGCTGTGAGTTACACGATTCATGTCTGCTTTTGTGGTATGCTCAGAGCGATGACAAATTTATTGCTTTGTACTGATAGAGTAAAAGGGGGGGGGAGTATGTGTGTGGGAGAGAGAAGACAGACAGACACACACACACATCCGTTGATTCGTCACTCAGGAAATCCAGTCTCCAGCAACCTTGAGAATACTCTAGCAAAAGAAAAAAGAAAAAAGAAAAGAAAAAGAAAAAGAAAAAAATTCCCCCTCCAAACTGAAAGGTCTGCTCAGCCATAAAAAAAGAAAAGTTGTTTTGCCAGCTTCATTAGTGTTCACCTAATTAGCTGTAAACCTGATGGATTCCTGACAGCTTTAATGATTGGAGATGACAAGCTCCACGCAGTGTCATCCAGCGGAATTAGGTTTAGAGCTAGTTTGATGTAATCAAGTTGATATTACACAGTCCTGGTTGCCTTTAGTTGTGCATTAACTCAATTTTCTACTGCAGGTGACAAATGGGCTTTGGTACCTGGATAATCATGTCATAGGAATTAAGGCCCTTGTAATGGTCTGGAGTAGAATAATAACAACAAAGAAGTCCAAGCACATAGAGAGCTTGCAGCCGGCGTTACAGACAGGTGCGCAAATTCCTCATGTCTAACCAAAGTGTTAGCACCACAAGGGAGAAGGCTAAATCTGTCTGGAAGAATCAAGAATCTGTAAAAATGATGGTGTCTGTTTGTTTACTTTCGTACTTGGGTTGAGTAGTGTAGACAAGAGTTGTGGACGAGGAAGGCTTGGAAGATGTTCCTTGGCTTTTTAGCAAACATCTGCAAGTCTATTTGGACAGCAAAGGTTTTTTTTTTTTTTTTAAAATATGTTTTAGGATTCGTCATTTCCGATAGAAGATTATGCGTGTTGGGGAGGCTGATGGCACTTCATTCCTGTTTAGGAAAAAAAAAAAGAGATCATATCCAGCTTTAATAGAGGCCAGGCTGTTCATACAAGCCATAATGATTTTGCTTGAAATTACAAGCTTTCACATACTGTTTTAATTTTTTTTTTTTATTCAACTGTTCACTGATTAAGAAAATGTGATTGCAGTTTGAATAGTCAAACTGTATTTTCCTGAGCATAGAGGAAAGGTTGAAAACAGTAAGGTCCATTGGGATCTGCTTAAAAGATATCACTCACTAACGTGACTTTGGTGCATATGTGTGAGAATTCAAAGATTTTAGATGTGTATCACATGGGTATTGTCATCCTTCAGAGTCACTGTCCTTCAAGCAAAGCATTTTTGATTTTGAGGCCTAGAAAATCAGAACAAGTTTGAAGCTTTTGCAGAGATGTTGAGGAGTGGTTCAAAAGCATGACCAACAATGGACATTTTCTCATTCACTTTGATGAGGTGTAGATTCGTCACTTTGCTTTGAAGAATTATGGCTTTTTCTATGTGACTGTACCCCTAGTTTTGCTAAAATCCTCTATAGTGATATTTAAAATCCCAAATAGGATCTAATCGGCAAGAAAAAATCTGATAGAAATATGAATGGATTTGGGTTGATTTGGTTTTTTTCTGGGAAGTTGATAACCTCATAAAGTCACAGTGAAATTTGCACATTCTTATAATCTCTCTCTCTCTCTCTCTCTCTCTCTGTGTGTGTGTGTGTGTGTGTGTGTGTGCTGAATAGAGGGGAGATGCTATATAGGAAACTAGTTGACTTAGCAGCTCTTCAGATGAAATCCAAGATTTGGGAATGTTAATTTTGGAAGTTAATCTTGTTCCCTAAAAACCTTGGATTGCATATGAGTTTATACTTCACAGTAAATTGTATATTGACAATTAAATGCAGCAGTAAGGTTGACCACCTTCAAAGTTACCTGGAACCTGAGCCTATTACTTTTCTTTGCTTCCAAACTTACCACATCCCCTTCCCCTCAATCTTGTTAGACATTCTTCTCAGTAAAAAGTTGACAAAATGATTAGCTGTAGTTGTCTTTTAGTCCCCCTCCCCAAAAAGTACGAGGTACAAGGAGAAAAGAAGGAAGGGAAGAGGAAAAGGAAAAGAGAGAAGCATAAATGCATTGTTCCCCTCAAGTCCTGATTCCACTGAATAGCTCATAGGAAATAGAGAATTTTCTAGAATCAGCTGCCACTGTTCCCATTAGCTTGACAGCTGTCAATTAGCCCTTCAGTGCTCTCTTGGGCCACAGTTTATTGTGT